TTGGAGCAATAAAGAAATGGAAAAGATCTGGAACCAAAGATGGGAGGTTGTAGAGGGAAACTGCTATAACTTCTGCGACTGAGGGGAACAAGAGGAATAGACTGGAAACTGAGGAATTCTTACCTACAATAGAAGAAGCACATACACAGCATACAGACAAAAAGAAGCTCAAATCAAATTCAAAATAGGTGGAGGTTGCAACCTTGAGTGGCACCCTAGTGACCAATGCTAGTTGTGGTATGGAATTGTAGAGGGCTGGGAGGGTCTTCTACAATTTCCCAAATCTTAGAGTTAATCAAAACTCACCACCCACTTTTTCTTTTTCTTTGTGAAGTCAGTTGGTAGAAAATTGGGTTTTGAAGACAGGATGGCGATTGTAGATCTTGTAGGTCTTAGTGGAGGCCTCACTCTTTGCTGGGATCCCTAGGTTCTAGTCAAACAAATGCTCAGGAAGGATTTCTATATAGCAGTTGAGTTCCAGTTCCAATCCCAAGATCCTCAGTGAGGTATGTTTATATATCTTAATGCCTGCAGACTTATCAGAATGGATAAGTGGAAAGAATTAATTGAGGACAGATCCTCTTGGGGAAATCACTGGTTTCCTATTGGAGACTGAAATGATATCAGGTCTAATGCAGAAAAAGCAGGAGGTATCCCCAGAAGTACCAATTTCTGCCTAGGTTTCAATACCTTTATCAATGACATGGAAATGAAAGAAATAAAGATGGAAAGATACCCTTTCACATGGTGCAATAATAGGGCGGATTTGGGGTTAGTTGAAGAGCAACTTGACAGAGTATTTAGCTCATTTGATTGGCTTCAGGCATTCCCAAATGCAACAGTCACTAGCTTAGTCTGAAGTTCCTCTGATCACACTGCTCTCCTTCTTGATATGGGGCTGCCAAGAGAAAAGAGATTCCACTATAATAAGCGCAGGATTGGCAAGGAGGGTTTTGAAGAAACTGTCAAGACAGCTTGGAAAACTCATTCTACAGGCACCCTTTCTATCAACTCAAGAAGAAAATCAAAAGAGTCAGAATTGCCCTACTTTTGTGGAGCTCTAAATTTCAAACTCAGGCTCTTATTGCAGGCCTTACTCATATGCTACAACAATCTCTGAATTTGGATAAATCAAAGCACCAAATAGAAAATATGGGAATTTATGAGGAAAGACTTGGAAAATGCCCATCTACAGGAAGAGATGTACTGGCAGCAGAAAGCCAGGTTGAAATGGCTTAAGAAGAAGACTTTAACACTCGATTCTTTCATGTTTTCACTCTTCACCTAAGAAGACACAATGCCATTACAAGATTGCTCTCTTCAAGTGGTCAAACATTCACCAACCAGGAAGACATTGATCATCACATTGCAGACTTCTACTCAACCCTCTTCTCAACTGAAGGATGTTGGGGGAGGTGATGCTTTGCTTCATCTTATTCCAAAAACCATCACCACAGATATGAATACTGCACTCCTCAAACCAGTGGAGGAAGAAGAAGTTAGGAATGCATTATTCAGCCTTCACCCTGACAAAGCTCCAGGAGAAGAAGGTATGAGTGTTGTCTTTTACCAACACTTTTGGTCCCTCGTAAAGGAGCACTTGTTGTCTGCTATTTTCAGTTTGTTTCAAACTGGAATGCTGCTCCAATACTGGAATCATAGAATATTATCTCTTATTCCTAAATGTCCCAGTCCTAACACTTTGAGTCAATTCAGACCCATTAGTCTATGCAGTGTTGTGTACAAATTTCTATCAAAGGTTGTTGTTCAAAGGCTAAAGCTATGTTTAACCCAGTGCATTAGTGATCATCAATCTGCCTTTGTCCAATGGTAACAATTATTGGATAATGTGATCATTGCACAGGAAACTTTTCATTATCTCAACAGACACTCCTCAGGTAAAAATTACTTTATGGCTCTTAAGTTGGATTTAGTGAAACCTTTTGACTGGGTAGAATGGCTATGTCTAAAGAAAATCATGCTGAAAATGGGTTTTCATCAGGACTTTGTCAAGCTAATTATGGTATGTGTCACATCTGCATCTTACTCCTTCAAAATGAATGGCCTGGTTAGTGGTTTTGTCACCCTGCTCGAGGTATAAGGCAGAGGGACCCCTTGTCCCCCTATCTATTCATTATTGTGGCAGAACTACTCTTATCTCTCATTTTAGATTCAACAGCCAAAGGTCATTTACAGGGACTGAAACTTTCCAGAAATGGTCCTCCTTTATCTCACTTACTCTTTAAAGACGACTCATTATTTTTTTGCAAGGCAGGAGTGGATCAAGCCCCTGTTCATTTGAATCTCCTTCAGCAAGTTAACCTACATAAGTCTGTAGTATTTTTTAGTAGGAACACTCCTAAACAGCTCCAACTCGAAATCTGCAGAACTTTGAATGGAATTGTTTCCCACAAATCCACCAGGTACTTAGGGTTGCCCCTTGGCATTGGGAAGTCCAAAAATGAGGTATTTGATTATCTCCTCAACTCTGTTAAAGCCAAATTGAGCAGTTTGAAATCCAAACTATTAAGTCCAACTGGTAAGGAAGTGTTGCAGAAAGCTGTTGTCCAGGCATTACCCATATTCACAATGTCATGTTTCAAAATTCCCTTAACATTATGCTCAAAAATTCCAGGCTATGTGCAGAATTTTGGTGGAGTTCTGGAGAGCAACAGACTAAGGGTATACATTGGAAGAAATAGAGCCTTCTTTCACTACCCAAACAGCAAGGAGGCCTTGGTTTTCTTGATCTCAGGTTGTTCAACCAAGCACTTATTTGCAAGCAACTCTGGAGGATTGTTACCAACCCTGATCTTTTAGTAAGCAAAATTCTCAAAGACATGTATTTTCCTAACCACTTTCTCATTCATGCTGCCAAAACCTAAAGTGGTTCTTGGATGTGGAATACTTAGATGGAAATGATGCCTTTCTTCTCTCAGTGGCTTAAAATTGAAATCAGAAGTGGTGCAACCACTAGAATTGATGATTTAAACTAGGTGCCTGCTCTTTCTAAACCTGCCCCTCAACTTATTAATTTAGCTAGAGGCCACTTGAATTGGGTTAAAGAGTTGATTTCTGTAGATGGGAGAGAGTGGAATTAATGGCTAAATAAGCAGGTTTTCCCTGAACCTGATTGCACAACCATTCTCAGTATTTCCAATCTTAAGCAAGATAAAGAGGATAGGCAGTATTGGGGCCTTCATCAAAATGGCCTTTTTACTGTATCTAGCACTTATGCACATCTTTCAGAGTAGAAGCTTTTGCAGCTTGATATTCCTGAGAGCAGCTCAAACACATCCATAAGAAAAACTCACACTTACAGATGCTGAAAACTGAAAATATTAGGCAAAGTGAAACATTTCTTGTGGAAGAGCATTTCAGGTACTCTCCATGTTGCTGTTCATTTAAGAAGAAGAAGCTGGACATTGACACAACATGCACTCTCTGTGGAGAATCACCAGAGACAGTGGAACATCTGCTTTTCTCATGCAACAGAGCGAGCAGACTTTGGGATTTAGCCTCTCTACACTGCGACACCAACACTTGCAGAACAGACACATTCAAAGGCTGGTGGCAACAGGTTTGTTCCCTTGATCATTCAGAGATAGCTGATGCTCGGATTCAACTCTTCACTTATCTGCTTTGGTGACTTCGGAAGTCAAGGAACCTCTGGGTCTTTCAAAAAGCCTTAATCCCAGTGCACAGGTTGATCAAAGCAACTCATAGTGATTGGTTGGACTATCTTCAAGCTTCCGAGTCATCTTTCTAATGTATCAACCATGTATTAGTCTTATTAGTTGTCCTTTATCAATCTCAGACTTCTCATTTTTTTCAGGTTTTCTTTGGGTTTCTAGGTGGATGTTTTGTACCTTGCTAGGCTTTGAGGCAGTGGTCGGGTGCTAAATTTCTGTTTTTTATTTCTTCTATATCTTTGTTGAGGTTCTAGTCCACTACATGTGTGCCTCTTAGTTTAATCTTTCCGAATTTGGTGTATCTTATTGTACTATGGACATGATTCTCTTTTGAGTTTTAGTAATACAATCCTCTATCGTTTCGGGAAAAAAAAAAACATATATTTATAACTCATGAAAATAACTATAATTAATTAGATCAAATGAAAAAATACATATGAAAACTATGTCACTGAAAAAAGGAACATAATATGAATAATAATTAAAAAGTTTGCTAACACATATAATTGAATTATAACTTTCTTTTATTTAGTCAATAAAAATAATGACAAAGAATGGTCTTCTTCAACAAGAAAATAAAACAAAATCGTAAACTATCACATGCAATGATTCTTGTAAAAGATTTCAATATAGTTTTACTGTTGATATTTCTCAATCTTCCCCAAACAAAAAGAAATCAAATAAATAAGACTAACTTAGATAATGAAGGTTTGTCAATCAAAATTTTCATGCAATCTTTTAACATGACTTTTAAATATTATTATTTTGAAAACTATATTTCAACTTTCAATATATTTGACACAATTCATTACGTACTGTACTTCTTTTGTTAGATTAATGAAATATAATAATGCAAGAAATTGAATAGACAATAAAAATATAAAAGAGGGAATATAAACATTAAAATATAAACACGTGCATCGCACGTGCATTTTACTAGTTAACTCAAAATGTAAGAAAGAATGAAAACATTGAGATCTAACAGCACGTTACTTACATGGGTTAGATAGATAGAAAAAAAAAAGTGAAAATAAAGAGAGTTAGATAAAAGGAGACGAGCAAAAGGCGGGGGTGAAAAAAAACCAAATTGAGCTCATCAATAAATGAGTTGATGTATGTATAATAATAGCCACATACAAATATACAATCTCCCTCTCGCTCTATTTTTTCCCCTCTCTCTCTCTCTCTCTCTCTCTTTCCCTCTCTCTCTCTCTGTGTGACCCACATACAAATACACTTTTTCCTCCCTCATTAATGAATGTTCCCATGGGATCTTAACACATGACATTCTAATAAGAAGAGATTCTGATGGGGACATGCATTTCCCTTCAGAGGTACACCACCAAACCTGAGCTGAAGCTAAGGTTGTCTCGGGAAGGCAACATATTTGACAAGTACCATGTGGGCAAAGAGCTTGGGAGAGGGGAGTTTGGGGTGACGTACCAATGTTTTGACAATGTGAAAGGTGAGTGGGTTGCATGCAAGAAGATCTCTAAGAGCAAGCTTAGGACGGAGATTGACATGGAGGATGTAAAGAGAGAGGTTGAGATCATGCGCCATTTGCCCCCACATCCAAACATCGTAACATACAAAGAGGTGTTTGAGGACAATGAAGCTGTGTACCTCGTCATGGAGCTCTGTCAGGGAGGGGAATTGTTCGATAGAATAGTTGCAAGAGGGCATTACACGGAAAGGGCAGCTGCCCACGTTACCAAAACCATTCTTCACGTGCTCAAGGTATCAATCTATATATGTATCTATGTACAGGATTTTATTTATTTATTTATTTTTTTGGAGCGATAGGGAATTTTATAGATAAAACCGCAGAAATGTGCAAATATACAGCCCCGTAACTGAATAATACAACCAATAGCTGAATAAACTGGGAGAACGGAACTGAAGTCTTCCTAGAACCTGACAATAACAACGCTAGAAAAAAAAGACACAAAACTGACGACACGACAAACAATAATAAAAACTACAAAGCTCCCAAAAGGAGAATAAAACCAAAACGATCCCAAAGGGATAATACTCGTATGACGTATCTATGTACATGAATCAATATATACAAACTTAATTAATTCAAACCTGATTTTAATTGAATTCAGGTTTGCCATGAACATGGAGTCATACATAGAGATCTAAAGCCAGAGAATTTTTTGTACGCTAATGATTCTGAAAATGCTCCCCTAAAGGCAATTGATTTTGGGCTTTCTATATTCTTCCAACCAGGTCAATCCAACTACACTACACAATTGATTGTTATATATATAATGTGTCACCATATCATGTCTTTTATACTGAAATCAGGTCAACTATTTAGTGAAATCGTTGGGAGCCCTTATTACATGGCCCCTGAGCTTCTTAGGCGCAATTATGGTCCAGAAATTGATGTTTGGAGTGCTGGTGTTATTCTCTACATTTTATTATGTGGAGTTCCTCCTTTTTGGGCAGGTAAACCAATTTATTCTCCCCCAAACATACTTCAAAATACAACATCATCGAATTGAAATTTTGTTATAAAGCTGAAAATTGTTACAATTAATAAATCCACTTCAGTTATCCTAAAACGTTCGTATAATGCATCATAAACATTACTTAGAATGAGTTTTAAAAAAAAATTATCTAGTATGAGTTACAATAACATTGCCTTAACATTATGATGTGGCGATTGAATGTATTATCTAGCGCAGAAACTGAAGAAGGAATTGCACAGGCAATTGTGCATGGTGAGATAGATTTTCAAAGGGATCCATGGCCTAGAATCAGCGAGGATGCCAAGGATCTTGTCCGAGGCATGCTTCAGCAAAATCCTTACACCCGCCTAACTGTTGAAGAAGTCCTTCGTAAGTCTAACTTAACTGCATGCATCACAAACACTGATATTAGACATCAATGCAACATATTTAACAGTAATCTCAAATTAAATATGTTGTTTCACCGAATTGAACAAGATTTCACCTATAAACATATTTTCTCAAACTTATGAGTGTGTTTTACCGTTAAAATACTAGTTATTTGTTTCGAATCGAACTAGTATGCTAGTCTCTTTCATTAAGTAGACGAACTGACGACAAAGCGCCTACTATTTGCTCTGAAAATAATAATAATTTTGTACATTATTACTATTCAAGCAGCCGATATGTTGTAATTGTATATGGAAAAAATAATAATAATACTAATTGTTGTGCATTGTTGTGTTTTATGAAGAAAGCCAATGGATACAAAGGGCTGACAAAGTTCCAGATATTTCTTTAGGAGAAGGTGTTATAACAAGAATTAAGCAATTCTCGTTGATGAATAAATTTAAGAAAAGGGTCCTTAGTGTAAGTTCCTGATCAGATACTCAATTCATCAATTAATTACTCATTCTTTAGTTAGATGACGTATTTTCGTCAATTATATGTTCAATATATGTTTATAGGTGGTGGCAGATAACTTGCCTGATGAGCAAGTAGATGGGATAAAAGAAATGTTCAATATGATGGACACAGACAAGAATGGGAATTTAAATTTTCAAGAGTTGAAAGATGGGCTATATATGTTTGGACAAGCAGTTGCGGATCATGATGTCCAATTACTACTTGATGCAGTAAGTATATATCATTATATTGAAGGGAGTGAGACCATATATTTTCTAGAAATAGAATTATATTTTTACTCACTCATCTTGTCAAATGACTTACATCATACTCATATTTAAAATATCCAAACCAAATGGTTTTAGCAACAAAACATATAGACACTTACTTTCAGATGACTCTTTAAACCATCTAAGAGACATTTAGCTTAACTAGGAGACATTTAGGAATACTACAAGACGTTGACCAAATACAAAGAGATATCTTTGACTGAAGTAAATTCAGTTTACTCCAACAATGCCTCCCGTAAACTTAATTTGCTTTGCACTCCCAATTCGGCAACATTCTTTGCGAAGATCATCCCTCCGAGCGGTTTTGTGAATATGTCAGCAATTTTCATGTTGCTTCGGCAATATTCTAGCATAATTTTACCTTCACTTACGAGTTCACGCACGAAGTGATATCTCATCCTCATATGTTTCGTTCTTCCATGCAAGACCGGATCTTTTGTAACTGAAATGGTCGATTTGTTGTCACAATAGATCACTGTAGGATTTTTCTGCTTTTGATTCAAATTTTTCAGAATGTTTTTTAGACATAAAGAATGACAAGCTGTTAATGACTCCGCGATATACTCCGCTTCGGTCATCGAAAGAGCCACAACCTTTTGCTTTTTCGAACACAAGATATTTCTCTACTTCCAAGGTTAAACACGTAAGCGGAAGTGCTTCGAGAGTCATCAACGCATCCTCCAAGATCGCTATCGGTATATCCTACCAGTTTGACATCGATACCGGATTTATAAAAGATACCAAAATCCATCGTACCTTTTATGCATCGAAGTATTCTTCTGGCAGCTTCCCAGTGGTTTGAGTACGGATTTTTCAGGAAATGGCTAACCATACTTACAGCGAACATGATGTTCGGTCTCGTGGCGGTGAGATACATCAAATTTCCTACGAGGCTCCGGTACATCGTGGAGTTCACGAGTTTTCCTTCTCCTTCTTTGCTTAGTTTCATCCGGTTAGGCACGGTGTAGAAACCAGATTAGCTTCCTCTATTCAAAACTTTCTAAGCACTTCCTCCACATATTTTCCTTGTGAAATAAAAATTCCGTCACTTGTTTGGGCGATGTTGATTCCCAAAAAATGATGGAGTTCGCCCAAGTCCGTCATTTCGAACTCTTTCATCATTGATTTCTTGAAATATGCTAGCATTTTCAAATCATCTCCGGTGAAAATAAGGTCATCAACGTAGATACTTACGAGCATGAAGCCGTTGCTGGAGTTTCTCTTGACATAAAGAGTGTGCTCGTATGGACACCTTTCAAAACCATTCTTTGAAAAATATTCATTTATCCTTCCGTACCAAGCACGAGGTGATTATTTTAGCCCATACAACGCCTTTTTGAGTTTGTGGACTTTTTCTTCTTCGCCCTTTTTTACGAAACCGGGTGGCTGCTCAACGTACACCTCTTGTTCCATTTAGAAAGGTGGACTTCACATAAATTTGAAAAATATTCCACCGGTTTTGGGCTGCGAGAGAAATTATTAGCCGAACAGTATGAAGTCGAGATACAGGAGCGAAAACCGCATTGAAATCTTCTCCTTCCTTCTGTTTGTACCCTTTGGCAACCAATCGAGCTTTTTGTTTGTTGACGGAACCGTCTGGATTGGTTTTTGTTTTGAACACCCATTTCACACCAATGAGACTTTTGTTGGGAGGGAGAGAAGTGAGCTCCCAAGTACCTTTTTCTCAATCGACTCGATCTCCTTTTTCATAGCGGCGCACCATTTTTGCTCTTTTACTGCTTCGTCGTAAGATATCGGGTCTTCTCCAGCAAAAAAGGCAAAAAACAGATTGCCTTCTTGAGCGATTTCGTTTGATTCGTCATAAATTTCTCGCAGGCTTCGCGTCCTTCTTCCTGGTGTATTTTCAGGACTGTCAGGAGTTATTGGCTAGTCTTCATTCTCATTTTCAGGTGGCTAAGAATTGTCACCATTGTCAAGAGTTTCGAGGCCGGTAGATTCAACGAAGTTGTAGCAAGCATCTTCACTGAAGCGAACATCCCTGCTTATAACAATTTTTTTCGTTTTTGGGTTATAAAGCTTGTAGGCTTTTGTCTTCATACTGTAGCCGATGAAGACGCATTTTTCTGCTTTATCATCCAACTTTGATCTCAATGCATCCGCTATGTGAGAATAAGCTAGGTAACCGAAAGTTTTGAGGTGACCTACATTCGGTTTCTGTCCATGCCATACCTCATTTGGAGTACCATCTTTCAAGATTTTCGTGGGTGAGCGGTTGATCAAATACACGGCGCACGAGACTGCTTCTGCCCAAAAAATAGCAGGCAAGTTTTTCTTTTTTAGCATGCATCTCACCATGTTCATGATTGTTTGATTTTTGCGCTCTGCGACCCCGTTATGTTGTGGTGTATAACGTGCTGTCAATTCATGCCTAATTCCATATTTTTGGCAAAAATCAGTAAATAACGAAGACACGAACTCGCCTCCACGATCACTTCTTACGTTCTTCACTTCGAGCCCGGATGATTTTTCGACTTTTAATTTAAAATCTTTGAAACATGAAAGAGTTTCTGATTTTTCCTTCACGCAGTAGACCCAAATTTTTCTTGCATAATCATCGAAAAATAACAAGAAATACTTACTACCGCCTAGAAAATCAACCTCATCGAACCACACAAGTCGGTGTGAAAAAGTTCCAACGGTGCCTTTGATGTCCAGGTTGACTTTGATGGGAACGAATCGCGATTTTGTTTTCCCATCTGACACTCCTCGCAAATTTCAGCATCATCTTCTATTTTGGGTAGCCCTTCCACGATGCTTTTGTTGCACATCTCCTTCAACCGTCGGTAGTTCAGGTGCCCGTATCGGTCATGCGACAACTTAGACGTTTCCTTGCTAGAAGTAACATAGCAAGAATTATTAACACCGTCAAGTTTGACTGGAAACAAATTATTTGAAGCCAATCCGATTTCAGCAACGAGAAGAATATTCTTTTTCATGATACACGAATCTTTAGCGAACTGGAAATTGAACCCCTTCTTCATCAATTGACCAACGCTCAATAGATTACTTGATAATCCCGAAACGTAAAAGACATTTGACATTTTTTCAATTCTTCTTGTCTTTGTTTTGAACGTGATTTCACCGACACCTTGGATTTCGAGTGTTTTAGCGTCTCCAATAGTCACCTGTCCAAGGTTAGCATCTTCTAGCATTGAAAATAATTTTTTATTTCCAGTCATGTGCTTACTTGCACCGCTGTCCAGATACCAAATATCATCAACGCTACCTTCAGACGCTATTAGAAGAGTTTCGAATTACCAGACTAGTCTTTATGAACATAGCTTGCCTCACGTTTCTTCTCTGGATATTTTTCCCAACAGTCAGCTTCTTTGTGTCCTAGTTTATGACAGAAATTGCACTCAAAGTAGGGTATTTTTACCTTTGTAGCGTCCTTTTCCCTTTTGATTTTTGGAAGTTGGTTTTTCGTCACTTTTAGAGTCGTTGTTTTTTTTTTTTCTTGTGACTGGATTTGTTTTCCACATTTTCCACGCCCTTTGCCTCGTCCTTGAAAAGATTCAAGGCCTCCCGAATGTTGGGACTTCAAAGATTGATCCTGCGTTGTATTTTGAGGATTCCTTTGAAGGAGTCTAATTTCATGAGCTTCTAGTCGTCCTTGTAGACTTTCCACGGACATTTTCGAAGTGTCTTGAGACTCTTCGATAGCAACAACGATGTAATCGAATTTTTTCGGTAAGCTCCACAGAACTTTTTCAACGATCTTTTCGTTGTCGACTATCTCTCCGTTTGAGGACATTTTATTTATTATGGAGGTAACCCGCGTGAAGTAGTCTGAGACTTTTTCATTCTCTCATTTCTAACTTCTCGAATTCTTTCCGTAGTGCCTGCAACTGGACCTTCTTCACATTTTCTTGACCGGAATAGGTGGTTTGTAAAATATCCCACGCTTCTTTTGCATTTTCTGCCTTCGCAATTCTTTCTTAGACCGGAATTTCAAGCACTTGACAAATTTGGAAAAGTGCTTTTCGGTCTCTTCGTTTCTCATTTTTTTCAGCTTCGGTCAGTTGGGCTACGTTTGCTGGTTGGACGACACCATCTTCGACTACACCCCATAGGTCCTGAGATTCAAGATACAATTTCATGAGATTACTCCAATAATCATATTTTTCTCCGTTGAACTTTGGAACGAGAGAAATGAGTTGGCCCGACATTTTGAGAACCAATGCTCTGATACCAGATTGAAGGGAGTGAGATCATATATTTTCTAGAAATAGAATTGTATTTTTACTCACTCATCTTGTCAAATGACTTACATCAGACTCATATTTAAAATATCCAAACCAAATGGTATTTAGTAACAAAATAAAGAGACACTTACTTTCAGATGACTCTTTAAACCATCTAAGAGACATTTAGCTTAACTAGGAGACATTTAGGAATACTAAAAGACGTTGACCAAATACAAAGAGATATCTTTGACTGAAGTAAATTTAGTTTACTCCAACAATTATATTATACCCACAACACCACACAGACTCAGGTGAAATTAAATAATTTAATATTGTAATATCTATATATATATATATATATATATAATTATTGGTATAACATTAAACAAAACCTAATTATAAAACCTATATAGATTTTCCGCCCAAAATTATAATATAATAAAACCTATATAGATTTACCGCCAAAAAAATTACAAGTTCATTTTATCATTTTTTTAGAAAGTGGTTTAATTATGTAATAAATATTATAATATTATGTAAAAATTGTAACGATTATGTTTTAGAAAATGATTTAATGTACTTTTTATTATTTAGATAAATGGTAAGTAATATTATATTTTGGTGTAACTGTTAAATATTGCTACTAAATATCTTTTTTTTGTAAAATATATCTATATATATATATAATTGTTGACAGAGCAATAAATAAAATGCTCAAATTATATAAAAAAATATATTATTCGCTTTATTCATACAACAATTGTCATTAATATATTGCAAATTCTCAAATAACTTACTTAGTTAATATAACAATTAATTATAAATGTGATACATATTATAAAATATTTTTTATACTTTTTTTATAATCTGTGCATATGCACAGGATGGATTACTAGTTAATGATAATTTGTTGTTATTAGGCGGATACAGATGGAAATGGGATGCTTAATTGTGAAGAATTTGTGACTCTGGCAGTGCACTTGCAGAAGATAAGCAACGATGAGTTACTGCATCAAGCCTTCTTACAGTTTGACAATAATCAGAGCGGATACATTGAGTTTGAGGAGCTGCAACTCTCTCTCTTATTAGATGACCATTTTGGTCCTACAAATGACCAACTTGTACAAGATATTATTTTTGATGCTGACCTGGACAAGGTAGCATATCACATCATATCTACCTTACTTTTTGGTAAATAATTTTTTTCAACCTGTACTATAGGTGTTTTTAGGATTTTTAACCTAAAATATTTTTTATCTGTACAATGCAACTGAACTACATATAAAGTCACTATTTGCACGCTCGACCACATCTTGACCATACACGTGTCCTTTTTTATAGATGATCGGACGGTCAAAAAGTAGTCAAGCGTGCAAATAATTGTATATATATAGTTCAGGTTGCATTTATAAAAAAAAAAAAAAACTTTGAATTGAAAATCTAAAAAACACGTGTATAGCAGAAATTAGAAAAAATTATTTACCCCTACTTTTTTTATGCAGAGATGCTTATTCAATTTGTAGACGTACATAATAACTGTGATAATATATATATTTAGGACGGGCGCATAAGTTTCCCAGAGTTCAAGGCGATGATGACGACAGGAATGGATTGGAAGATGGGATCTCGACAATACTCACGGGTTTTGCTCAACGCTCTTAGCATCAGACTTTTTAAAGATGCTCAAAATATGCCACTCACAATCTAAATTTTCTTTCTTATATTAAAGGTACATTTGTTTTTAAATGTTAGAATATTGAGTGTATTTTAAATATTAGTCCCATTTGATATTAATTTCTCAACCTTCCCAGCTGCCAATTAATCTCATAGGAAATGCATGCGTGAAGAAATTATATTTGGTGAACAAATTGTCAAATTCTTCAACTACAAATATCAAAAATCCCAACCCCAAACCAATAATCATCAACATCTTGTAACCAATTTTCATCTATAAATACTCATCAACTCATTTGATGAAAAACACACAAAAGAGAAGAAAGAAACACGGCAGAGAATAGAAGTGATGGGAAAAGAAGAAAGAAAAAAAAAATATTAGTGAGGAAAAATTATCATATAGATAATTTTATTAATATTTTTAAGTGCTCAATTCTCGACTCCTATCCAGTTCGCCGGAGCTCGTAAATCTGGTGTGCTACAGATTTAGAGACGTTTGTCGTTGTATCTTTCGGGAAGTTACGCCTGAACCGTTAGCTGCCACACGGGGCGTATTCTTCTTGCGGAAAGAGTTTTACTCGCCTCGGCTATAATATTTCCGTTTTAATTTAATTTAATTTATTTTTCATTTGTAATTTATTTTTTTCAGTTCAATTGTAATTTTCTATTTTTAGATTATTTGTAAGAACTAAAAAATACATATCAGTTCGTAGGATTTCCGTGTAATTTTATACCCGATTTATAACAATCGCAGAAGAATATCTCTACCTACTGGACTGATGGCTTCCACTGGAAATGGTTCCAACACTCAGCATCCGATCAATCATGTACCTGCTGTCCATGTCCCTACTGCCGAGAAGCCCAAAAAAATCAATGGGCTTGATTTTAAAAGGTGGCAACAAAAGATGCATTTTTACCAGACCACTTTGGGTTTGGTGAAATACCTGAAGAACGACCCCCCGGTTATTGCTGAAAATGAGACCAATACTGAACTACGCACTGCGTACGAAGCTTGAGGGCAAGATGATTACCTTTGCCGTAACTATGTCCTGAACGGACTTAGTAACGTGTTGTACAATGTGTACAGCTCGGTTGGTTCTGCCAAAGAGCTTTGGGCTGCTTTGGAAATGAAGTACAAGACCGAGGATGCCGGGGCGAAGAAATTCTTCGTCGGAAAATTTCTTGACTTCAAAATGGTTGACACAAAGACCGTTGTGTCACAAGTGCAAGAATTCCAACTCATCTTGCACGATATTCATGCTGAGGGAATGTCTCTGAGCGAGTCATTCCAAGTTGCGGCTGTGATTGAAAAACTGCCGACGGGTTGGAAAGACTTCAAGAACTACCTCAAACATAAGAGGAAGGAAATGAGTCTTGAAGACTTGATTGTTCGTCTTCGTATTGAGGAGGACAATCGTAATTCATCGGGGAAAATTCCGATGATGGAGGCTCGTGCTAACTTGATAGAGCAAGGCAACTCGAGCAAGAGGAAGTCCCTAGACAAAGGGAAGCAGCCTGCCAAGGTTTGGAAGTTTACCTGAACTTGTTATAATTGTGGAAAGCCGAACCATATGGCTAAAGATTGCAAGAGGCCAAAGAAGGCTGGGCCAAAGAAAGGTAAACCGAGTGCCCTTGTGGCTGAACACGGCCCTGTGCCGGGTGAACTGACCGACTTTGATATGTCGGCTGTGGTGTTTGAAGCCAATATGGTGGATAACCCAAGGGAGTGGTACATCGATACTGGTGCCACTCGTCATGTGTGTTCCGATAAGGAGGTGTTCTCTGAATACACTCCTGCTAAGAGTCGGAAACTTTACATGGCAAACTCCGCCACGGCTGATGTGGCTGGAGTGGGCACTGTGGTGCTGAAGCTGACTTCTGGAAAGAAGTTGAAGCTTAAGGATGTTCTGCATGTCCCAGACATCCGCAAGAATTTGGTCTCCGGATCTCTTCTTGTTGAGCATGGATTTAGGCTGGTATTTGATGCTAAGAAATTTGTTCTTAGCAAGTTTGGAACTTTCCTTGGTCGTGGCTATCTCGACAATGGTATGTTTAAAATGAATGTAATGGCCGTGAGCTGTGTAACCGTTTTAAATGATAATGAAAAGCATATTTTTGTTTATACCGTTGAGTGCTCTGATTTATGGCATATTAGATTGGGACATGTAAATCGAAATGCAATTAAACGGTTTATGAATTTAGAATTAATTCCTCTAAAATTGAATCACATAAGAAATGTGAGATTTGTATTGAAGCAAAAATGGCTAAGTTGCCTTTTCACTCGGTGGAAAGGTGTACTGAACCATTAGGCTTAATCAATACTGATGTATGTGATATGAAAAGTGTGCAAACAAGAACGGGTAAAAAGTATTTTATTACTTTTATCGATGATTGCACAAGGTTTTGCTATTTATATTTATTAAGAAGAAAAGACGAGGCTGTGGAAGCATTTAAAATCTATAAGACCGAAGTTGAAAATCAACTCGGCAAAAGGATTAAAATAATCCGAAGTGATAGGGTGGGGAGTATGTAGCTCCTTTTGAACAAATATGTTCTGAATATGGCATAATTCATCAAACGACTGCCCCTTATTCTGCACAGTCAAACGGTGTTGCTGAACGCAAAAACCGTACTTTAAAAGATAAGGATTATCAGAACCCAAGATGGAATTGTCTTGTCACAATCTCTTTATGTAGAGAAAGTGGTCAAGAAATTTGATACCTATGACGGTGCACAGTCTAGGTGTAAGACACCCATTGATCTTAGTATAAATTTGGTAGACAATAAAGGTCAACCAGTGGCTCAGTTAGAATATTCACGGATAATAGGGAGTTTGATGTACTTGACGAATTGTACACGACCAGACTTGGCCTACCCTGTGAATAAGTTGAGCAGATTTACGAGCAATCCCAGTCATGAACACTGGAATGCTTTGAGAAGGGTACTTAAGTACTTGAGGTACACCCTTGAATACGGGCTAAAATACTCGAGATATCCAGCCGTACTTGAAGGGTATTGTGATGCAAGCTGGATATCAGATTCGAGAGATTCTCGCTCCACTAGCGGATATGTATTCTGCATTGGAGGAGGTGCAGTTTCATGGAAATCCACAAAACAAACGTGTATAGCTCGGTCAACGATGGAATCGGAGTTCATCGCTTTAGATAAAGCTGGTGAAGAAGCCGAGTGGCTTAGAAATTTTTTATCTGATATTCCATGTTGGAATAAGACTTTGCCGCCTGTGATGATTCACTGTGATAGCCAAGCTGCTATAGGTAGGGCGCAAAGCAACTTGTATAACGGTAAGTCTAGACATATTCGTCATAGACATAATACCATACGACAATTGATCTCTAATGGTGTTATTTCCATTGACTATGTGAAATCTAAGGATAATTTGGCTGATCCTTTGACGAAAGGATTAAATAGAGATCAATTGGTAGTTCTGCTAGAGGGAATGGGCTTAAAAATCCACAATGTAACGAATGATCATAGTAGTAACCCTACCATGCTGAGTGGAGATCCCACGAACTTGGTTCAAAGGGAAAACTAAGCTATGAAAATTCAGTTGAGCACTTGGAACATATGAATATCCAAAGCTATTCCCTAAAGCACTCCAAGTGCATGATGACCTGTTGATTGTGGTGAGGGTAAGTCATGTGGACTTTTAATGAATCCCTAACCTTGTAAAGGTGGAGTATTACATGATACTCTTGATAGGGAGGTCAGCTATATAAGTGTGAAGTGTGGGCCGCTTCAAATGTAAACACTTATGAATCCATTGTGTTGTTCATGGCCAAAACGAACACGACGATAGAACGGAATGGAGTGAAAACTCTATTGTGTAAATGTCATTGTCTCGGTGTACACTACGGAGGAATAGTTCAAGGCATCATGTCCACTAGTCCACCAGTGCATCCGATGATGTTTACAAAGAAAGGTTCAAAGCCTAAAGCTACCTTTTCTGATGCAATAGAGTTTTGCGAAGATTGAGCACAATAGTATACATATATTTAATTTACACTCATGTGGGGGATTGTTAGAATATTGAGTGTATTTTAAATATTAGTCCCATTTGATATTGATTTCTCAACCTTCCCAGCTGCCAATTGATCTCATAAGAAATGCATGCGTGAAGAAATTATATTTGGTGAACAAATTGTCAAATTCTTCAACTAAAAATACCAAAAATCCCAACCCCAAACCAATAATCATCAACATCTTGTAACCAATTTTCATCTATAAATACTCATCAACTCATTTGATGAAAAACACACAAAAGAGAAGAAAGAAACACGGCAGAGAATAGAAGTGAAGGGAAAAGAAGAAAGGAAAAAAAAAACATTAGTGAGGAAAAATTATCATATAGTTCGCCGGAGCTCGTAAATCTGGTGTGCTACAGATTTAGAGACGTTTGCCGTTGTATCTTTGGGGAAGTTACGCCTGAACCGTTAGCTGCCACACAGGGCGTATTCTTCTTGCGGGAAGAGTTTTACTCGCCTCGGCTACAATATTTTCCGTTTTAATTTAATTTAATTTATTTTTTATTTGTAATTTATTTTTTTCAGTTCAATTGTAATTTTCTATTTTTAGATTATTTGTAAGAACTGAAAAATACATATCAGTTCGTAGGATTCCCGTGTAATTTTATACCCGATTTATAACATTAAAAAAAAAACAATTTTATGTACTTAAGTTAGCACCAAAATCCCAACCACTTTAGTTTCTATCTTTCAAATTGTGTCCAACTACTTTTGTGATGCGCCTAGCTCAAAACGAACATTCACCTGTTTTAAATTACTAGTGAAATGCATATTATATTGTTGTTTTTTTAATTAAAGTTATTTTTATTATTAAATTTATATTTAATAGTATAATATATTTTTTCCCATTAGTTTAACATAAAAATAGTTTATTTTATGATCGGGAATAATTAATGTGTTGAATAATGAAATATAATATTTAATACTATTAACCAAACTCTATGATGAATAAAATTACATAAAAAAACATTGAGTTGAAAATTCAAAATAAAATTAATATTTTTTTATGAAATTTTAATTGCTAAAGAAATTTATGTCGTTCTTGATTTTGTTGTTTAATAATAT